AGTTAATCACTTGTGTAGAAATCTGAATGATACTCAAAAGGTTAAGGATTATCAAATCGTATAGATCACAGCAGTCAACAGATTTGCAGCAGGATTTTCAAGTTACACTATTTGACTTTTAGAAGTGCCCTGTTAGATATTTAAGGGGCACTCCTCATTCCTAACTGTCCTTTCATGTGTAACTTCTGACCTTTCCCATCCCTTCAAAGGAAGCTTTTCAAGTGCTGCTTTTTCCTGCAAGAAGGACCCAAGCAGCAGCATGGAAAAAGCAATTCTTCACCTTTCTCCTTATTTTTAATGCTGGTTGGTTTACCCTCAACAAAACACAACAGGAGAAGCGTAAAGAAGTCAACTGTAGCTTTATGAGCAGCGAGACATTATGCACATCACTACGCAGCAGGGTACTTACACACGATGAGATCCGAAGGGCAGCATCTCAAGATGATCTTTGACAGCTCTCTGTACTGTGGGTTTATGCAAAACTCAATCACTGTAAATGCTACTGCCTTTTTTTTTTTTTTAATGGGATTTTGTACCTTTACCCTAGTAAATGGTGAGAGGAAAAGAGTATCCTTCAACAGGAGCATCATATTAACTATGTCGGAATAACAGCATTAAACACTGTCGTCCGGTGCAAGCCCCTTACCCGCCCCCGTTAAAAACAATAAAGCCCCCCTGGTAATACACACCCTGCCTGTGACTGACCGTATCCGTCATTCCAAACATTGCTTCAGATGGGCTTTGAGTTGCTTGAGGGGTCACTTGTAGACAGAAGAGGAAAGAAAGTCTGTACTTAAATCTGATCAGCAGATTTTGGTGTTCAGTTGTGTCACTCTCTTAGTCACAAAATTCAAGCAGCATTTCTAAACTGCTGTCATTCAGAAAATTCCTTTCAGCAAAGTAACACCTCCATAATTCAAAGCTACCTGATAGCCAGTCTTCAAAATTACAGTTAAATACAGACTCAATTATAAAGCTGTAGCTTGCACTTCACAAAACAATGGTGGTTCACAGGCTGTACACACACAGGAGAAGATACAAAACAAACATATGCTCCAAGTTTTGTGTTTAAGAGAAAAATTATGAGACAAACCCTCAACTTCTCCCACTCTGGCACGTATTTCTGCATTAAGCGAACTTCTGTTCTGGGGTGAAGCTCATCCATCGCTTTACCACAAAATAGGAACTCATTAATCATAGCAAAATTCTGCTCTATGTTTTCCAAGCACTTCAAATCTGGTAATCCTTCATCACATGAAGTTCCCACAAACCATAGTTCTTACTGGGAATTTAATGTATAGGAAATGCTGTGAACAGGAGCTGCAGCAAACTGTCTCACTTCTTGCCTTTGCTACTCTCCCCTGAAACTGTTCTTTCCCTCTCTCTCCATCTTCTGCCAAATTTCCTTGTTCCCAATTCTTAATATCCACTGTTCACTTGAAATAACGCTTATTTGAAGTAAATTCTTCCTTGATTTTTTTCTCTCCTCCACTGAACATTTTCTGCAGTGCTTCCATTCCATCTGAAGAACCTGAACATATACATTTGCTTAATTTTTTCACAACGCCTTTCAATATTTGGCCCTGCCCCATATTGCAGTGCCCTAGGTTCCTGCCGGTGTCACGTATTAATGCAGTGGCTTTGCCCAAAAAACTCTTGTGATGTAAAACCCTGTGGTACTGAAGAGCTAAGCACTCATCCCTGTTAACACAATAAACTCTCCCTCTGTTGCAAACCTCACCCTGTTAGCCTGTGGGCTTTATGCTCTTTTGGAATACCACTTCCTACTGCTCAGTAGCCAAAGGATTAGCATTAAGCAAAGCATTGCAAAGTCTCTGTGTAAATCTCTGGATGCCGTAACAGCAAAAGCTGATGAGAAAGTTCAATCACGACTAAACAGCAGGTCACCAAAAAAACTTCTGCAATATATGTTATTTATTCCATTCTGTCTTTCCAGTTGGAGTTTTAAGAGCGTGAGGCATCCAAGAGCTTAAATTCAACTGACTTTGAAGAGACTTCCAGCCTTAAGTTTTTAAACCCCCTTAAAACAAGGACCTCAAGGAGCCCAGTCATACGGTCACCCCTGAAAACACTATTCCACAGTCATTAGGGTTTTTTTTCCCCCCTTCTTTTCTTTCCCCTGAAAAATTTGTAGTTTTAAAATTACAATTTTACCACTTCTATGCACTTCAATGTGTAACTGGAGGGTTCACATTCCTTTATTGTTCTTTCTGTTTCAATATTTTCCCTCACAGCTCCTCCATCACAATCACTTTTTGCCCTTGCCTGTGGTGATGTTGCTGCGTGCTACATACTTCCCATTCCATGCACATTTCCTATTTAGCCGCATTTCCAGTAAGAAGCTGATATTTTGGTGCAGTGACTCTGTTTGCTAGGATATATGTGAATGGAGGAAGATGAGACACCAGGAAGACAAGCCTGCAGTTTTCATTAGAACTGAGCGTACCAACATTAACCTGATCTACTATTGGTTCATAGAATCATAGAATGGTTTGGTCTGGAAGATCATCTAGTCCCAACCCCCCTGCCATGGG